ACGGATTTCTAAATACTTATTAAATTGTATCGTCACTTATTGTCTGATATTGATGGCATACTTAGTTAAAATGTGAATACATAAAATCAAAATGAACTTCTTTGCCTAAATAAGAAAGCTGCTAAATATAAAAATTTATTGGAAATACTCTTTTGCGCATAATAGTTTAGAGCTTAATAATACCATAAAAATGCAAAAAAAAAGAGTTTTTATTTTCAAAGTAAGCTTATCCTGCTACATTATGAAGTTTTATTACGAGATTTTGCCAAAAATAACTAAGAAACAATTGCTTTAAGAGTTCACTCACGAAAAATATTCAGTTTTGTTCAGCTTTTCACAAAGTTCCAGTAAAAACGAACAATTTTTACATCAAGATTTTGAAATCTACGAAAAGTGATTATTAGGCGTGCTAGCAGAGCAGAGTCCTGTGTAATTTCTACATCGTAAATCTCGATACGGAAGACTCTCATCGAAAGATCTTTTAAAATATTTGAATAGCCTTGAAATCTATTTATCAACATAGTCTCTGATTGAAAAGATGAAATTTAATTTTCTATTAGATGCTTTATCAAAAACTAAAACAAAACCTAGTAAAATGACTACAATTTTGAGAAGAACTTTTTTATAAGAGTAAGTCACTTTAGAGTTTGTCTAGTCTTATTTAATCGCCTATTTATTGTCCAAATACAAGCTCACTACTACAGACTTAGCAGTCGAAATTTCTACTTCTTAGTTAATCACACAATAAGATATAAAATAGCGCTGCCAACTTAGTCATGCAACTGTTTCTAGTTGATGAGAGAAAGTGAAGTAGATGAACAGCGTTTCGCTAATGTTAATTGATGTTTCTACATGTTGGTAATACTTTTCTTCATTGTAACTTAAATATTCAAGAACTAATCAAACAAGAGCGAGAAAAATGAAAGTTATATTTGGCTAAACTCTAGAGTAGATTTTCTATTATTAACTCGAATGGATAACGGTTTTCTTCAGTCTGTCTTGATAAGTGGTGACTAAAATTAACATTAAAATTATCAATTATAGTTAAAGAAAATAATTTCTCTCAGTAGTCGATATTCATAAGCTAGTAAATATCAAAGAAATCTTTGTATGAGTGAATTTTTACTTTTTGAATACAAGTGTTCACTGTCTCACTCCATTAAAGTTTAGAAATCGTAAGATGTTTTCATAGAGAAGTTCTTAAGTTTTCTATGCTCAATCAATTTTAATAATGAACCTATTCAAGGAAAAAAATGGCTTGAAGGTATGCAACGAGATCTTAATCTAAAAGAAAAAAGAAAAACACATTCATAAATACGATTCTCACAAATAATAAACTCAAGCGAACCAAAAGTTGCCATATATTGAAAAACAAATCTACATACAGACACCGCTCTGAGTGAAGAAACTTCTTTCTTGTTTTTCACGTCTTCAATACAGAAAGCTGCTGCTGTCATAGTTTCTCATTTTCTATCTTGGGAAAAATAATGGCTTTCAAATGTTGGCAGCATGAATGCCAATCACGTAAAGCAACAGATTCTTTTGTGTACAAGTAATTTCTCTTTCTTTCTCCATTTTTTTCAGTGAACTTTATGCCATGCTTTTTTTTTTTACTTTTTGAAGGTTTCTGTCTTGTTTGTTGTAAAAGCATTGCAACGTCAGAGAAGAAAAAGGATCAATAAAGAAACTGATTGGTAAACAATGCAGCATGAAAGAAAAAAACAGAAAGAAGCGTTACTTATATGAAAAAAACACATGAAAAAAATCTGATTTTTATCGATTAATTCGCGATTAAAAATTGATTAAAATCGTTCTATTTTAATCGAGTCTAAATCATAAAAAAAAAAGTTAATAAAAATCGGATTTTTCTCGTCCATTTTTTTACATAAGCCAGACTATGATACTTGTCAATCAATTTTAATTTATTAATCCTTCCAAATGTATATTAATATTTTATTATTGACTAATAGGTTTTAATCACATTTAATTGATTTTTATTTGTGCATTGATTTTAAGTCAGAAAATATCAAAGATAACTATGTTTCCCGAGATTCAAGCTTTGAAACCCGAATTTCTCGTCTTTTTTGAATGGCTTGTTTAGAAACACCATGAACTTCTCACTACGCTGAACGCCAGTAGATAAAACAAAGTTCGGACTGCTGCATCCTTTTTTGAATTGGGATGATAGAAATACATCAGAAATTGATTAAAACGCATTTCGTCGCTTTTTGTTTGACAACTGCGACGCACTTATGTCGTAACTACGTTCGCATTGTGCCTCATGATTGAAATGTGACGTAGCCTACGCCGTACTTTCGTCGCAATTTTTTACGATTATGAGTCACAGTACAATTACAGCTGCTAAAAAAGAGATGATCTGTGAACTGATTAAACTTGTAAAATTTGGTTTTAATCCGTAATATAAGAAAAATAAAAGCATAAATAATTATCCAAATTCGAATCATTTATAAATTATCTTTTGGACTCTGAAGACGTTGTTCTCTATAATATATAGTTTCAACAAGCAATTACAAGAAAGAACTCATTCTGCACTTGTTTGCACTGTATGATATATCGAAAACAGATATGGCCATTTAACTTATCATCTAAGTACAAGTACTTCCTAATAGATTCCTTCCAGTTGACTCCATAATAGTACCTGACCGCTTCTGGATTCAAATCCGAGACTGACTCGACGGGCCATACTCTCAAAGTAAAAGCTAATTATGACTTAGATACTAGAGGATCATCATCAATAAGGTCTGAGAAGTGTGTAGAGTGTTTCCATAACAAAGTTCAGAGCAACTATCGGAATCACACAAAAAGATTTTGTTGATATTAGTAGTATGATTAGAATCCGGATTCGAGCTCAAACATATTCAACTCAGTGAGCTCTATCTCATGCACTGAATAAAAGATAAGAATAAACTCTATTCATAATGACATCTATATACTAAACAGTGTACTACAGCTTTTTGTATTTTTGTGTATGTTTCTATAGTATTTTCATGATAGCAAGCCAGACCTAATATGTTTTTTGTCTGACTATAAAAACATTTGTTGGTATTTATTAACAATCGCAAGTTTTTTAATAATGGACAAGTAGAAATGGAGATCACTGAACAATCAACAATTATAATTATTTTTAATCATCTAGGAACGGCGACTTTCTCTTAAGTTTTGTAATAACTGATTGACTAAAGAAATATATTTATCAGAGAACTGAGTTCGTTCTCATGGACAGAAAGATGTCTAACTAGACCATTAGTTGTAATACACATAGTTTCTCTTTCGTTTCAAGGAGTTTCTTTATGATTTCTTGTGTACCATGACTTCAAAGCTAAGTACCACAGAAAAAGCGAGGATTATTCGAGAAAAAATATCCACAAAAAAAAACAAAAAGATGATGTTAATACGTGAGAAAATGTCACAATTGCTGATGATTGTTAGTGGAAGTGATGTCTCATCAAATAATAACATGACACAGTGAGTGCCAGATATTATGGTGACGTGATAAGATAATTGAAGATATTGAAAGCTTGGTCTCATATAGGTGTGGGTGTGAGTATTCTTTTCTCTAAAACAGACCCAGACCCACACCTCACCCAACTGTGAAATAAAATGATGCACATACGGATAGGTCTCCTCTCTACTCTTACCAACATCCCATTTTTCAATCAACAATAAATCATTAATGTGCTTTTTTTTGTACCACATATAGAAAAATGTGTTCGATAACATTAGGCTTGGGAATGAAGCGATGTATGGATGAGGGTACCAGTGTCAATCTTATTTTCACCCACATCAACATCCTGCATCCTAGTCTGAATGGTGTACTATATCTACTGCATCTTCTTTTTTGAGCGGTCAATACAGCTACAGGATCTCTGTTGAGTCAAGAAAGAATCTATTGCTAGTAACCATTAGCCAACTACTTCCTATGATCAGATTCCAGAAGTGTATGGGCGTGCAAGTGTGAGTATAAGGGAATAATAGATCTACATCCACCCACACCTCGTTTTGCTGGGCGCTATACTTAGGGTGTACCAAAAGTTCTGATCATCATATTTAAAAGACTTTTTCGATAAGGTTCCCTATTCAAAAATGAGAAACCAAATACACCATGTTGTAGAGGTTTTCGAGATGCATCGAGTAGTATATAGTAAATTCTATTTTCGTAAGACTCTGAAAGAATTAGAATCAATTTACTGATAGACGACTACATATCCACATGCATCTATACTAGCACCTATACTCAACAATGATAAATTAATGAATATTGTTGTCCTTGCTATTAATCAAAAATGTTTGTAAAATGCCTTTTCTCACATATGACTTTGTAGAACTTTTAAAGGACTACAATCTCATATGCGTAGCATCTCCGATCATCTTGTGGATGTGAATATGGATGGATGCATGTGTGAATGTGTAGTCGCCTATCAGTAAATTGATTCTAATTCTTTCAGAGTCTTATGAAAATAGAATTTACTATATACCATTAGATGCATCTCGAAAAACTCTACAACATAGTATACTTGGTTTCTCATTTTTGAATAGGACGGCTTATCGAAAGAGTCTTTTAAACATGGTGATCAGAACTTTTGGTACACCCTAAGTATCATCCTACTGAGCAGTAAATATTAATGAAAATAATTGCCGCTATGTACTACGTGTTGTACCAACTTTTTCAAAGGCTTTCTAGTTCATAGATCAGTTAATGAGAGAAATATGAGCCTGGCCCGAAAGTCTGAGCTGAAAATTCCTTTGAATGGAATTCATCTGACTTACAATGGAAAGATAGAAGAAAGTATACCAATTCAATACATGGATTTTACATCGGTTAGTTCATTAACATGTTAGACGTTTCTCAATATTTACTTCTTCTAAAGATAAAAGATACATATTTAAAAAAAACTAAGTAAGATACGACAATAACATCAAACTGAAAATTTCAGTCTGTCAAATACACATGAATCAGCTAAATTCAGCATATATAGATATCAGGAAAAACAATATGCTCGACATGGTTTTCGATCTATAAAAACGCCAAATACATTAATTAATATATATATGGGTATAGTTCCTAATAATAATCCTAATTGAACTGTTCCACCATAGTAAAACATACCCTTATCATCTTCCCATTCACTTTTAATGCGATTACCAATTGTTATTCGTAGAAAACCACTTGTTAATGACATTATAAACCATACTGTAATAATCATCAAAGCACCTTGTATTGTATCTGCTAACCATGGGCATGGACTTTGTCTAGCAATAATAAAAATGAAAGTAGCAAGTAGCCAATTAAATATTGATTGAAGGACGATTACATGATTCGAAACATGTTTCCAGTATATGCTTAGTAGTAATGCAAGTGGATAAGCAATCGGAAGCAGAACACTCCAATAATAGAATGCTTTCTGACCAAAGGGTAATAAAGCATACGTACTCAATGATGGTAAACATCCGAATGATATAGTTGAATTAACTGTATTAAGAATTAAAAAAAGAAAAAATAAACGTCGTGGCATATGTTGAATAGATTTCGATGATGTACGTGACTTGATAACATTAACCATAGGTAAGTTTTCTTCGACAGCAACATTTCTGTTAGATATTGCTTTTTCACGAACATTCTACAATGTAAAACCATAAAGAAACGATATATCCACCTAGTTACTAAGATAAATAAAGAGAATTCTTGCAAGAATAAACGAATTAAGGACCTTCTTTACTTTTCAAATGATTTACACATTTTTCTACAAGCAATGTTTTGGTGCCAGAGCCAATGATACTGAAACATGTTAATTGGAAGCAGAGCAACAATAAATCCGTTTACTAACTCAATATAGTGTTAATCCGCGTTTCAAAACAGTTTCTAAGATACCTAGGAACCACTTACCGTTTCTGCAGCATTGGCTAATCGGACGATACTGGTCCATCTAAGAAGAATGAAAGCAATAAGTGATGCGATGATGATACCTGCGATACAAAACATGAAAATTTTGACACTAAAACGTGGCTGAGTATAACTGGGTTCTAGAAGAGTGCTATTAATTTTCTGAATGCATATTGTTTCACCTGCTACACCTTGCGCAAGTATTAATACGGTAGGAATAGCAGATGTTAGTGCTTCACCTAAGAAAACAGCTCTTAAATATTGTGTGCGAAATCGTTTCATATAATCGAAAAAGACCAAGGATGATGTACAATCCAGCATTGATAGAATAAAAATACACGTGAGTAGCCACACACTTCGTTCGCGACCCCATAAAAACATTGTTTTTTGCCAGAATAAGGCCAATAAGAAACAGGCAATTACTCCGATAATAATAATCATATATATGTAAGGAATCTCAGAGAATCGTTTTCCTTGATGCCACCGCAATAGCACAACAATAACAGGAACAATATTAGCTGCACAGACACAAATGGCTGCTATAGACGGTAAAGTCCATCTTTCTGGAGTAAATGGAACAATGAGAGGTATTTCGACAAATAGTCCTTGCAAATCGATCCATGCACTCAAATTCATGATAGCAATTAATATGAAACATGTGATTCGAGCCCATCGTGCTGATGTATATCTATAGATAAGAACTTAGAAAATTAATTGAATAATAATGTTAGAAATATTTTCAATGAAATGTGTTATCTCTTTGAATTTCGAAAGTTGACATGTATATTCAATCGATATTAATATTTGTTGTAGTTTTTTTTTTTTTGTCAAGTCATTATAAAGTTAGTTATGTACATCAAATTGAGACACAGAACTATAGAGAAAATAATGAATAGAAGTTTACTTACTCTTCTACACGATGAAAAGTATTTTGGCGTCTTTCGTTTTCTGTATCATTTTCATGAAACTCTGGATTCGAGGTCATGATAGAATAGTCTCTTAATTGAAGATAAACTATTATTACAAGATTATTATTTCTTTTTCTATTCTTCTATATGATATGGAGATCTTGTGATGAAGGACTGACGAGGACAAATAAAAAGATCGATAAGAACAGCCATTATGATAAGAATAATTGAGATACAATATATATATATATATAATGCACGCTATATCCATCTGCTGTTAATACGAAATACGTGACAGAAATTGAATTTAATGTTGTAACAATTCGGCAACGACCTATACTAAATGAACTACTCATAGGTATTTGGTTTTCGTTCAAAAGACATATGCCTTCAGTTTCTGGGCAATGTCTATGTACATACGTTCTAAAACGAAAAGAGTTGCATTCATGCATTGCTATTTATAAATGTTTCAAACACTAGCATTAAGATACATCGTATTATGAATGTGTTATGATCAGTTTGCTAATTATTCATTCACTGTTTTATTTTACATATACATGTGCACATATGCAATCCATTGAACATAATGAATTGATCTATTTTCTTATGACTTTTTTTTCTGAATTTTTTTTCGATTATTAATTACTCGAGGACATGCCAATAGATCGATCGATGATCAAGAAAAGACTGCCTTGATAAAGTCTGATCGAGATCAAACGAATTCAAGATGGCTAGATCTAAAGATTTGGCGGCCTTGAGCTTTAAGGATCGCTATCACTAAGCCGAATGAAACTAGAAAAATAGAAACTTTTTTTCCTTCTGTGAAAAACATGACACATGCGATAAAGACTCGTTTCAAATCAAGTTTTCAAAATGTGCCACAGAAGAATTTGTTATAAATTGTATTGCAAAATACGACACATTCTTCTTTTGGTACATATTATTTTTCTTATATTTTGTAGTGTATTGACAATATTTGTTATTATTGTTACATTTATTCCATTTCTTATATGTTGGTGTTTGTCTATTGATGAGTCATGATTTAGATATATGTATAATTCTATACATATATATATATGTGTGTTCTTTTCCTTTTATGTTGTGATCACTCTAATTTCCGTATAAAACATATTTCTATTGTTATATTTCTTTTGTTTATTTTTCGTATTCTGCATTCCATTTGTATGAGTCATCACAACATATAGATCTATCTCTCTCTATATATGCTTATCTTTCCTTAAAAAGATGAGTACTTTTGTTCGTTTCGTTTCATCTAACTTGTTGGTTGTTTCTGTTCTTCAAGTCAATAAAACAAGTTATTGACCTTGACCTTTACTATATTACGCAATTGATAATACAATACATTTTCTGACTTTTACGTATAACTTCAATACGTGATAATTTTTGTCTAATTTCGATGAGTATTTAAAAAAGAATGCAAAAGTATGTTTCAATTTACAAAAAATATGCAGAAATAACAAGGCCGAATTTTTCAAAATAATTAATACAGCTAATTTATACTCAGTAAGTAAAAGCCATTACAATTTTTTATAACTAAACTACAAAAGTCAATAAGTAGAGTCATTTCAATTCTAAGCTTTTACTTTCATCACGAGTAATGTTTTCGAATCACTTTTCAAATAGATCTTGATTCAACGAACACTTTAATGTTTTTGTGAATAGATACTCAATGATAATTATTTCTTCAGCGAATAATAGTCATCAAGCAACTTACACATAACTTTATGTCATAATACAAAATATCAGATTAATGAAGATGATCAATTTACAGAATATATCCATCACAAAGTATATGAAATAAAGCAGATGCTATATGAGAATATTTACTGATATTCATAAAGAAAATTCTATTGTGGTTTGTATCAAAAACTTATGATAAAGTTAGTCACAATCATGAGTCATACGATGTTTTTTTATTCTCACATTTTATTCGATAATCATGACGATCTTTATCTACCTATATAAGTCATTAACTAAACAAAGAGATAAAAGATTGCAGAATAAATATAATAATATGACTTGTTAAGGGATCCTGCATTCATTTTTTCGTATAAAACATTTGTGCATATAATTTAAAATTTACATGGCCGATCGTTTAGTTGAATTTATAATCAACGTTGCTTTATGGACGGTTCAGGGCATATGTATTGCTTATGAAGTCAAAGAAAGAAGCAAATCACGACACGAATCATCAAGTCATGATCTATCTAGAAGGTCATTGTCCGAATTATCACCAATTAGTCCATATCCACGAGCAGTACTCATTGCATCAAGTTCAATTAGATTTGGTAATGATTGTGAACGTCTTGTTAATATAGCATTTCAAACTAGTCAAACTTTTCCTACAATGATGAGTACTTGTGCTGATGTCAATGAATATTTATGTAGAGAACTTACAAAACAATATCCTGATGAATGTTTTCATATTATTATTGGTGAAAATCATCAATTTGGTTTCTCTGTTGATGATGGTCAATATTTTGCAGAAATTGAACAAGATCGATATCGAGTATTGATATTTGCAACTAAACAACATTCACACACAAAATCGAACACACATGATGCTAATAGTCAAATGATACTCAAATGGAATTAGACAAATTTCGATTTTGTTAATCATGTTTTTTTTTCTAATCCATATAATTTTTCATATCCATAAAACCTTATATTGATAAATGTCGAACAATCAATTGTTATATATTCTAATCAGAGAAAAATAATTGAAAAGCAATATTGTATATTCGATATCTTTTTTCAAATCATATTAATAGAACAAAGATTTGTTAAAAATAATTAAATATATAGCTTCTATTAATAGATAATAAATTTAATCTTATTTTGAATCTTTCAAATACTTGTAGTCTCTAAATTGCATTATATTCACGACTTGCACAACTTCTAATTTCTGCTATTCTATATTGCAAATAACTAATGCTGATTGACAAGTTATTCATGTAATACAAAATAAAATTATTATTATAATACATATCATTTATATGATAAAAACGATAACAACTAAACTATGTGTATAAAAACGTGCAATATAAATTAGAAAAAGAAGTAACTTTTTTTCTTGTATACAACTTATAATATTCATGGATGGAGTGATTGGCATAGTATTTGATAGAACTAAAGTGAAACTGATTAGTATGGTTATTGCAATTGCAGTAGAGTCATATAGAAAATGAAATAGTTGAAGCAATCTAACTTCGTCTATTCAACATGAATATGAGGTACTTATTGTTGTGAGTAAGATTAGTTTTGATAATGATTGTGAATGTCTTGCTAATATAGCATTTTGAATAAGCCAACAATGTCCTACTTTAATATATACATATGTTAATGTCAATCAATATTTATGTAAAGAACTTACAAAACATCATTCCACTGAACGTTTTCATATTATTAAGGGCGTAAATCATGAATTTCGTTTTTCTGTTGATGACAGTCAATATTTTGTAGAAATTGAACAACTTCGATATCAAATATTAGTATTTGCAACTATATGACATTCACATACAAAATCGAATACATACCACATTAAAAATCAAATGTGATTTCTACGGAATTAAAATTTTAGTTTTATTGACAAAGAAAATAAAATAAAATAATCGTTTACATTAAAAGAAAATGTTGAGTTAATAGTAGATCATATTAAAGCATTGTACTTTATCATTATTTCTTTGTTTTCGTCCAGACTTTAAAAAATTCGTTTGATTCAAAACTTACTATATTACAAGCTGATACAACC